TCATCCTTGGACGTAGCTACAGCCTTCCCTTTGTCCCGAACTTGAGTTTCATGTGTACTTGGCCTGCTCACAGTGGTTGTTACTCCTTTGCCCTCATTTCTGTATGTTGATGGAGTTGGTGCAGCCATACGGGAGCGGTGTACTCGGTTTTGTTTCTTGATGATTTGCTGTTCAATTTGTATAGCAAAATGTAATAGTTCCTGCAGATCATGATACACTAACCTTTCGACCTTGCGAGAAATTCGTTCTTGCAGTCCGTCAACGAATTGTGCCATCACCGTTTCTTCGTTTTCGTCCAATTCCAACCGGTTTCGAAGATATTCAAATTCCTCGACTCTACTAATCTTAGAACTCGAGAGATTGTTTGTTACAAATGCAGGGGACGTGGACACTATGCCAAGGACTGCCCAAACAATCGGGTCATGATTCTCACAGATGCGGGAGAGTATGAGTCAATGGACGAAGAAGAAGCTGAAATTGCAGATGAGGAGATCGAATACCCGGATAGTGGTGAGCTATTGGTTACGAGGCGAGTCTTGAGTACCATGGCTACTTCTGAAGAGACGGAACAACGAGAGACCATCTTCCACAGCCGATGCACCATAAGAAACAAGGTATGTGGTTTGATAATTGATAGTGGCTCTTGTACTAACGTTGCAAGTGCATACATGGTGAAGAAGTTAGGACTCGAAACGGAGAAGCATCCTCACCCCTACAAGCTACAGTGGCTTAACAATCAAGGCGAAATCAAGGTGAATGAGCAGGTCAAAATTCCTTTCAGCATCGGTAGATACCAAGATGAGGTAATATGTGACATAGTCCCGATGCAAGCCGGTCATATTCTCCTTGGACGACCATGGCAGTTCGATCGAGAGGTGAAACATGACGGTAGGACTAATCATTATTCTTTCGTATTTAACAAGCGAAAAATTTCTTTAGCCCCTCTAAGTCCTTATCAAGTGCATGAGATGCAAATGAAATTGTCAAAGGAAGGCGAGGACAACAAGAGAACAAACTTTTATGCCAAACCAAGTGTGGTAAGCAAGGCTTTAGTTGATGCAAGAACTGTACTACTAATGGTATTTAAGGATGTTGTGAGTACAGGTTTTGATGCACAAGAACTACCTCCGGAGATTACACGAATCTTGGAACGATTCCAAGATATCTTTCCGGAAGAGACACCTGCGGGGTTACCACCTATGCGGGGAATTGAGCATCAAATCGACTTAGTTCCAGGAGCACCCCTTCCTAACCGACCCGCATATAGGATGAATCCCGAGGAAACAAAGGAACTACAGAAACAGGTACACGAACTTTTAGCTAAAGGTTATATACGTGAGAGTTTGAGTCCGTGTGCAGTTCCGGTCTTGCTTGTCCCAAAGAAGGATGGAACATGGAGGATGTGCATAGATTGCCGAGCTATCAACAACATCACTGTCAAATACCGACATCCTATACCACGCCTCGATGACATGTTGGACGAACTTAGTGGAGCCACCATCTTCTCAAAGGTGGATTTGAAGAGCTGTTATCACCAAGTGCGCATGAAAGATGGAGATGAATGGAAGACCGCTTTCAAGACGAAACAAGGGCTGTACGAATGGCTTGTGATGCCCTTTGGCCTTACCAACGCCCCAAGCACGTTCATGAGGCTCATGAACCATGTCCTACGAGCTTTTATCGGTAAATTCGTTGTGGTTTATTTCGATGACATCTTAATTTATAGCAAAAGTTTTACCGATCATGTGACACATCTTGAGCTAGTCATGGAGACTCTCCGACGAGAGAAACTTTATGCCAACCTCAAGAAGTGCACCTTCTGCACTAATGAAGTTGTTTTTCTAGGATTTGTTGTGAGTTCGCAGGGATTACGTGTGGATGAAGAAAAGATAAAGGCAATACGAGAATGGCCAACTCCTACAACCGTCGCCCATGTTAGGAGCTTCCACGGATTGGCTAGCTTCTAGTTCCTTTCTTGGAATCTTGCATCTTGAACCGTTTCAAGACCTTATCGATGTAAGTACTCTGACACAATCCTAGAAGACGCCTCGATCTATCTCTGTAGATCTTTATGCCTAGAATATAGGCCGCTTCTCCTAGGTCCTTCATAGAAAACTGTGTTCCTAGCCAAGACTTAACGTCTTGCAAGGTAGGAATGTCATTCCCTATGAGGAGAATGTCATCCACGTACAGCACTAGAAAAACTACTGTGCTCCCACTGACCTTCTTGTAAACACATGGCTCGTCCTCGTTTTGTGAGAAACCAAACTTTTTGATTGTCTCATCAAAGCGATGGTTCCAGCTCCTCGAAGCCTGCTTCAGTCCATAAATGGACCTCTGAAGCTTGCACACCATCTCCG